CCAGGCTATCCCTGGGCCACCTTCCCAGAGTGTCCACCCCCTTCTCTCAGATCGTCCTCCGCGCCGACGTCCCCACCCCCAAAGGCCCCAAACTCCCCAGACAGGTTAGGGGAAGGAGCCAAAAGTCAGGCGGGACAAGGTAACAAGAGTGCCCAAGTTTTCTCTTTACTGCGAAGTGAGGGTCTTGTGCTTCCACCGTGGCCAGTCGCGTTTTCCAAGTTTTTAAGACCCGGTCTGGAAAAGAAGTGATGCCAGATCCCCCAGCCCAATCCTGGCAAGGGCGCAAGGGCACTTCAGCAAAACTGAGCCAGGCTGCAAGTGTCTAGAGAGGCCACACTGGACCACAGTCCTAGGGTGACAAGGAATCCTCAATTCTTGCGCCTCGTAGGCCGCTGCGCCGCCTGCTGCCCCCGGTGGAGAGCTCACGCTTTGGGGGGCCGCACCTCTGAACCCCGGAACTCTTGGCTCTAGTACTGCTGTGAAAACTGAGGGAGGTGGGTGAGAGAGACGCTAGGGCCGGCTGCGCCTCTGCCTAAACAGCACACCGAACCCGGTGCAGCTCCGGACTTCCTACAGCACAGCCCGGCCCGGAACTTGGAGGAAGAGGGAAGGGAGGGAGCGGGCAGCCTGGGCGCTCGCCGCGGGTCCCCCTTCGCTGGCACCCCCCGTGGCGCGGCGAGTCAATGGGATTTGCACACTCGAGGTGTAACAGCATTACTGCGTTAATTAGCATTTCCATTTCACGTCCAGATTGTTTACTTATCTGCGGGAAACATATGTCGGGAGAAGTTCACATTCCGGATTCTGCTCCGCTGCCCAAGGTGCAATTCCGGGGAGGCAGCGAGGGGGAGGGGAGGGCTTCAGATTTTTTATTACACCCTCTAGCCTTATCTGCCGCTGTAAATTGAGGATCCTCCATTGAGCGGCATATGGAGATTATATACTTTTTTGAATATCGTTTCCCAAAGCCTGCAGATTTTCACTTTGAAATGAAACAATCCTCCACCGCTTCCCCAGGGGCCAGGCGCATCCTGTGCTGTCCAGAGTGGCAGTGGGGACCCTCCCGAGAGATCCTCGAGCACCCATCTGCCCAAGGCCATGGCCAGCGCCCCGCAGAGCCCCCGTTCTCCAGACCTAAAATAATCTCCGGGGAAACCCATCCATACACCGTTTGATCCCCAAGACAGCGTCCCCGTTGTTTTCCCGAGCTTCACCCCACGACTTGTGCACGCTTTGCTGCTTGTGCGTTTCGGATACCCGCATAGACGGGAGCTCACTTCTGCCCTCTTCCTACGCTCTGAACCCGCAGCGGGCGGGGACGGAGATGCCCATGTCTGTGCACCGCAGTTGTCCGCTGCATCTCTGGGCTCTCAGGAGCCTGGGTCTTGAGACGGCCCAGCCGGCTTCCGATTCTTTGTTTGGAGGGCCATGGAAGTGGTGGACCCTGTGCGCCGCTCGGAACCATTTACTGTGAATCTTGAAAGGAAATTCTGCACCCACCGAAGGCACCGGTCTCCCCACTCCGCATAAGCCGGGCGGACCCTAGGAGCGAGGACCGAATCCCATCTCTTATCTCTTCCGAGACTCCTTTCAGCCTGAGATCAGAGAGGCTGCGGTGGGGGGGGGGGGGGAATCATTGCTTTTTTTTTTTAATTTAATATACCAAGCCACCCGTTAAGGTCATTTATATGCTTAATTTAGTGATAAAAGTCGATAAGCAGAATCACAGGACTCGCTCCTCTTTTGACCACATTTTTCTACAGTAATTGGAAAAATTAATCAAATACATGTTTGCTTTTTCCTCGAATTCGCTGCTTTGTCTGGAAAGCGGTTCTAATTGCCATACTTTTGTTACATAGTTTGTTTGCTCTTTAAGAGATCAAGAGGAAGAAATGTGTGTCCCGCGCGATTCCATTCATCTCGTGTGGGTTCAGTTTGCAGAATCACACTCTTCACACGCCCTAGGTAGATACTCACCTTCAAAAACCAAAAGCCCGAAATTTCCTTCACATGCCCGTTTTTTGTTTTTTGGGTTTTTGTTTTGTTTTGTTTTGTTTTTGTTTTTGTTTTTCTGATCCCAAATGTCCCCTGGGAAACAAATTGCAGTGTTCAATCAGAACAAAGAATGGACCAGAGCAATACAGTTAAGGCAGAAAAGCAGGAAAATGGAGGCATAAACAGACTCTTTCCCATCGAGTATTGTTTTGGAATTTCTATTTTTTTTTTCAAGACCTCTAAGAAAATTGTAAGGTGTCACCTCTATCTTCCAGGTCTATCTGTAATTGAATCTAGGTCACCATTCTAAAGCAAGGAAAGCCTGCTTCCCACTTTCCTACATCAGGCTGAAATTTGGGGGAGGGACAAGGGTCTTGCAATTTCATTTAAAATGTAATGGTGGATGAGCTGATAAGCAAATGGGGGAAAGGAGTCTGCTAAAAGAAAAAAAGGCATGGTTTTAATATGCTCCAGATGGGGGCAAAATGATTTACATGAGAGTTTATTTCCTCTTTGCTGATATGAAAGAATTACAGATACAAAACCCACTGATCTATAGAATAAAAAAAGAAAAGAAATGTTATTTTTCTGTAAAGGTGTCAGTTCATTTATATTCATTTAACCATCCATCCATCAATTCACTTTCTCACTCCTTGCACATTCTCTCTGGCTCTGTTAAACCTTACCCTACCAATACACTTTGCTAGAATATACAATGAAGTTTTCTTTCTTTAAAATAATATTAGAATGCGGTGAAGTAGGCAAACACAGGGAAGGAGAGAAAGTGTTGCTGCTGTTGAATATTCCTGGTAATTTAACATTATGTTTCTACGACAAAAATGTTAACCATGGTCACATGTCATTATTATGGCAGTTTGACTACAAGCAGCTTGCCTGTGGTTACAGCTGTGTGCAGAAGATATGTAATGATTTTCCACAAAATATACATGCAATAGAAATATATTTATCATGTGAAAATTTTCCCATAATATGGAAAAATTAGCAAAACCTCAATCCTTCTGTACAGACACATAGTAGGTCAGGAACACACTGCATAGTTAAAACAACTGTCTATATTAGTATGAACAAGTTTACAGTTCCTGAGGGGTTTGTTTTGATAAAAAGTATAAGCAGCATCAATTTGTATGTGTGTTCAAGTTGTCATGACCACCTAAGTGCATGCTAAAATCTGTGTTTATTTAAAAAGAAATTAGAGTTGTCATCTGGGGATCACCCAAGGGATGGAGATTAGATAAGATAGGTTTTCCTCTTTTGAAATAAAAATAAAAGTCACACCCAGCATAAATTTCTCTATGATCTTCCCCCAAACAATGGAGTCATGTATTACTCCCTGCCTTGGTGGTATCCAAATAAAAGACTGGATGCCTCCAGATCCTGAGCAAGGACAAGACAATCAATGCCAGCACCTAGTGATGGTTTTCACTAGTAAATTGCTTGACAATTCTCATGGGTGACTTTTTTTTTTCCCAAACTGAACACTAATCCTTTCATCTCCCCTTCCTTTCTTATTTCTTCCCTCCTCTACCCTTGCTTATTTTTCCTTCATAAACTCTGAACACTGCTAGCCGACCAGACCATTCCCATGTAGACCTGCATAAAGTCCCAGCATCTCTTTACTGTGTTTGTTTCATTCTGGTTCTGCTCTCTTTGGCTGGGGTAATGTATTTTCTCACCAACTTAATTTTCAATAAAGCAAACGGAGTAAGGGTTATCACGAAAGTCGGGGGGCTTTGTGCTTAGTGTTGCCTCAAACCCTACGGTCTCATTTGGAATAACTGCTTTTAATCGAATTCAGCTGGATGAGCAGACGCCTTGAAGACACTGTAGAATTGCTACTTACTATTGATTTTACTTCTTGGGCTCTTAAATATTTGAGTAAATTATGCCTAATAAGAAGTAGCCACATGCCCTGAAATATCTTTGAGAACTAAATTAACAAGAATTGAGCTGAATACCCGAAGTTGTGACATCTACTGAAGGGGTGAGCTGAACTTCTCTCTCCTTGAATACAGTTTTGGTGTATAGAAAGTTACATGTTTGTGTAAGTACATCAAGCTGGGAACTAATGTGACTAGAAACTTGCTGTAACTACGGATGACACCTTTCTACTGATGAGAAGAGCCAGGTGACACCCAGGGTTCAGTTCATCTTGTCACCACAGGCTTGGTGAAATGCAGAGTTGAACAAATACAACAGTGTTCATGGCCAACCTGCTCAATATGGAGGCTTAGGATTTGATGGAGGTCGATCTGCCCCAAAGTGAAACGCCTTAGCTTCTGACAGATGGTCAGAGATGCCCAGATATTCCTCAAAAACACTTGTTTTACAATAAACAGATGAAATTAATGATTTGGAGGTGAGTTTGGATATTTCATTTCATGAAGAGAAATTTTAGTGGCAAAATAGAACCCAAGCCTTGTGCCTAGGTCCCTTTGCAATGGTACCATCTTTCTAACAGGTAGCCCCTTCTAGGGTTCTTGACTGGCCAAGAACCTCCACATTCAGAGGACATTCTTTTGCCCTTCCATGTCAACTTCTACAGAACATTCTACAGGGACATTTTCTTCTTGTTTTTTAAGTGTGTGTGTGTGTGTGTGTGTGTGTGTGTGTGTGTGTAACCAGAAGTTAGATTATCTCCACTATTCTCCAGTGTACAATATGATGGACATCTGAAGTCTCACACCCATTGAAAGAAGGCATCCTCACCTTATACTGAGACAACTTGAATGAAAACAGGTAAATTTCATTTGTAATAAACTATTGCTGCAATGAAAATTCCTATTACGGTTTCAGCCTTTTGAAAGTGCTCAAAAGTAAGCTAAACTCAGAAAGAAAAAGAAGTTCTTAAAATGAAGACCACAAGGTATATATATCAATTTCTGTCTTCTGGTAACCCTAGAGTTTCAAGCAGATGTGAAAATAGATTCCTGTAGTTACTTGGCCGGGGGAGGGGGGCCCGGGGAGTGGGGAGCAATTGAAAGACTTTCATTCATGAAAGCATTTGCACACACCTGTTAGTCTGAATTCCTAACTTTCCTGAATGGCTGATAATCACCTCTACACAGAATTCAGATTAACAGTCTACATCACTCTTAATAGAATAAGGTGGGAAAGGGATGGCAAAAGACATGGCATGTCACTGCCAATGAAACACACAAAAGCATCCTAATAGTTAATGAGCCATTAGTCCCCTATGAACAGCATCCAGGTCACTTACTCTTTCCCCTGAGAAGAGAGATCAGTAGTAAAATCCCTGAGGGCAACCCAGAAACTTAAAAACAGGGACCCAGGACATGTTTTTAGAATGGCCCAGAAGACTCCAGAAGCCCAAGAAAGGTGTCACCTAGCACAGAAGCTGAAGGCTAAGTTAAAATCTCAGACCATCTGTTTACTGAAATTCCTGGCTTAGATGGAGGGGAAACGGCAAGAAAGCTCTGTTACCCCAGGAACGTTGACTCTGCCAGGATAAGCAGGCAGAGTAGTCCATTGGCTGCAAAAAGGTAATAGTTGGATCTTTTTGGAATCAGTAACTGGGGGAAAAGCTAGCACCAGTGAGTTTTATCACAGCTAAGTAATTATTTGAGTTTACTTTTTCTTTCATTAAAATGTGTTTTAGGAATATGTTTTAATTGGGTGTGTTGCTTTCCAGAACTCTGAAGATTTATCTCCTTCCCTGGGGAGATGGAATCTGTTTGCAGGAAGAGAAACCTACATGGTTGGTTAGATGGTTACTAAGCATTCTAGGCGAAGTAGTTTGCTGAGTGCTGTGAATGCTCGCATCTTGTTGAATTCTCCCCCGAAACACCTTGAGGTAGGTACTGATGCTGTCTGTATTTTACAGAGAAGGAGCCTGAAGCTGACAGGCACTAAAGGACTCACCTAAGAGCTCATGTCCCTCAAAGTGGAAGTTGTCTGTCCCCAGCTCGCTGAGGGTCCCCTACTATCTGTCAACCCAAGGCCTGGCTGGATATAGACAAAGAAGAAAGCAGAGAATGCATGGAACTCACAAATGAGGAAGTGGGAAGGAAAGGGGGGACAATGTAGAGCCTCAGGATATGGCAGAGGACCAGAAACGCCTTCCCTCTTGCAAGCTGCTGAGCAGAAAATGTGAAATCTTAACTATTCGGCATCCTCCATCACTGAGCCCTCTTACTGGTTGGGTCCACATTGCCTCAGCTTTATAGCCGCAGATACTACAGGCAGCTTCTAAGTCCTGAAGACACAGTGAGAGGACAGGACATCCAGATTTGGCAATGTACAGCCCCAGATTTCTACAGAGCCAACCAGAGACCCTAACCTCTCCCAGGCCCAGTTCATGATGCTCGCTTCAGAAGGGCTGCCTTTGTGTGGCAGCTTAACAACTAAAGGTGTAATGTTAGGAAGGTGAGAAGGAATACTCCCAGGTGTCCTGTTTGTCATTTTCCTGCCTTTAATCAGATTTAGTATATCTGTTAACTTAACTATCCCCTTGAATTCTCGGGCAGACTCTTTAACCTGCCCAGGCACTGTATGTTCGAGTTCGGATGAGAATAGCGTTCTTGCTCGCTTGCTTTTTCTGCCCTGAGCTCTTCCTTATCAACCAGAGAGCCCACAGAGTCCGCACTTCCTTGCCTGTGACAATTTACATGTGTTCCCCTTTCTGAAAGGATCAAAGCTAACCATCAATAAAAGGTAGCTGAGGACACAGACTATTTCTGTTTAAGGTAATATCAGGACACCCAGGAGCCTCTCAGTTGCTGTGGGCACAACTTCTGCAGAATCGGTTGGAAACATTTTGCCTACTTTTTCTAGTTTCAAACTCATACCTTGCTTGGAATACAGATGATTCCTAACATGGATAATGCATGTCTGAAGTCGGGGGTGGGGTTGAGTCCACAGAGAACTGGGGTTCCAAGACCTGTGAGCAAGATTTGATAATTTTGTAACCATTTTAAAGGGGATTTGATACATTCTTGGCTACACTAACGTTTGTATTTGTGAACTACAATTGATGACACGACCTCTCCTGCCAGCTGCTGGGTTCTGCCTAAGGACTGCAGAGAAGTAGACGGCTACGGTGGGCAGGTTTCCCACTGCCATTGGCAGGAAGCCCTGGTGGAGGTCGGGAATGCAGAGGAAAGGATGCCCAGTAGAGCCATGGAAGAGAGGGTGGAGCCCTGGTCCTGGCCATCGGGTCTGGCCAAGTTTCCTGCTGCGGTATTATTTATGTGGGCCTTCCTTTGTGTTGACTAGTTTTCTTTTTTCACTTTGGCCTCCTCCTAAGCTTTGTGTGATGGGTTTCTTAAATAATATTACTTCAAAAATTAAAATGCTCCATGTAACAGCCATGATTATCAACTATCTCAAATAATAGAGGCAATCACTAATCCAAGTCCTCACTTTACCACTTAGAAAAATGAGGGAAGATAAGAGCCTCAGCTGAGAAAATCTCTCCATCAGATTGGCATATAGGCAAATCTGGTGGGGCATTTTCCTGATTAATGATTGATTTTGGGAGGCTCAGCCCACTGTGGTTGGTGATACTCCTGGAGAGGTGGTCCTGAGTTGTACCAGAAAGTAGAATGAACAAGCCATGAGGAGCAAGGCAGTAAGCAACACTCCTCCATGGCCTCTACGTCAGCTTCTGCCTCCACGTTCCTACACTGACTTCCCTTCATGATGGGCTGTAACCCGTCCTCCCTGGGTTACTTTGGCCATGGTGTTTATCATAGCCATAGAAAGCAAATGAAGACAGCAGACGTTTGTTTTTCAGGAGACCCTGAACTCTGAGATGTTGAATGGCTTGCTTACAGCCACAAAGCCAATTCAAAGAGAGTAGAAACCCAGGTCTTTTCCATTTTAGGTTGGGATTTTGCTACCACATGTCACCCCTATAAATCTGAACCTGTTGCCTTTCATTCTTTATGTCACACATAATTTCTCCAGACGCCGGAGTCCTTTCTTCAGCCTTACCTTTACAGCAGTAAGTAACTCCCTGGGATCCTACCACTTTGCATTGCTTTCAGATTTCTAAGTCTTTTGAAAAAGCAGACCGCATTTTGACTAGTTTTGGATGTTTACAGTCAGACCCTCTACAACCGAGTCCTAGAGCTATGCAAGCTCCAACTCATTGTTTAACTTCTCTGTGCATTACTTTTCTCATCTGCATGGTGGAAATAGAAGAGCCCACCTTGATTCAGTGCAGCCCTGGGGACCTCACAGGGTTGTTTTGAGGCTTAAAAGATGTGATGACTAGAAAATGCCATACCACACAATTAGTGTTAGCTATAGAATTGAGTATATTACCTATTTTTCTGTCACCCTTTGTTTTTGGTTGTTGTTGTTTTGTAACAGCCCTGGCTGTCCTGGAACTCACTATGTAGACTAGGTTGGTCTCAAACTCACAGATGTCTACCTGCCTCTGCCTCCAGGGCTAGGGCCATTGAAAAATCCCAGCCTCTGTTGTTTGCTCCTCTATAATTCACCCATTCCTTTTCAGGGGTATTCCCCCTACATTTCCCTAATTCTGAGATTCCTAACCCAGATTCCTCATTTCTTTTCATCCATCTTTTTATTCATGCAACTCACAGGGAGTGAGGATCACACTTGGGTACTTAGAGGCATCAATGTTCAGGAAGGATGAGGTCAGCTCTTCAAAACAATGACCTTCCCTTTAGTAGTGGGAATCTCTGTCATTCCTGCTCAGAAATTATTTGTGCTTAACTTAGCTATATCCAGATTTCTGCCACTTACTGCTGGTGTGACTATGGGCTACTGACTACACTTTTCTCAGGGTCAGTTTACCAGTCAGTTAAAAGGGGGATTAAAATGACAATCCCAACACTTGGCCACAGATGTACTATAAGGATTAAGTGTGATAACATGAAAGTATTCATGCTGGTGCCTGGCACACATAAGAAGCCTGTGATGTAACTATCACCACATATTCTTGCAAAAGTGCACTAGAGTGGACCACTCGACACATGCAGATCCCCCCATTCCCTTTCTTATGATATTTAATCAGGAAGAGTTAGTGTGTTTTAAAATCCAGTTGCCTGTGCATTGTTTATACTATTTTGATTAATTTTATGAGCCCTCCTCATTTCTGTCTAGCTCCATCTACAAGTCAGAACAATGAACCAAAGTGAGGGGTTGGTCTCCACCATCAGGGTTGGCAAGTCAAGTTTTGATCTAATAGGCTAAGGAAAGAGCTTGTAAGAACTTACTGTATTTTAAAATTGTGGACTGGATTTCAGTCATTGAGAGCTAAAAGAAACCACTGAGAGCTTTGAGGTCAGCCTCACATTTTCAGATTAAAAGAAAATGAAGGACTAGGGAAGCATAAGGCCACAGCCACGGTCACACAGGTGACTGTGGTGGAGCATGGTCTTGATACTTGTTCCCATGGGAGCTGCCTTCACCTGGCTGCCAGAACACTGGGTAAAAACATGGAGTTTTTAGCTTATTACTTTGGATCTTTTTCTGATAGTGAGTGGTTTTGGTTTTTTACCTGAATACATTGGAGGTCCATTAGTACACAGAATAACGAGTGCCTATCTACTGATTTCCTGTTCTGTTCCAGGGACTTCACAGTCATTCTTTTTCTATACTCGCTCCAGTTCCTTGGGGGTAGAGGCTAGTCTACCCTGAGAAAGTTAAGAACCCAGGAAGCTAACAAAAGACCCTGCCACCATTCCAACAGGCCCTGGTTGATACTGAGATCTTTTTATCTTCAGGCAGCTTTGCTTTGCCCTGGGTCAGGATGCTTAGTTCATGCAAAGAACTGGCTTCCTGAAGAAGTTCTGAGTGTGGGAATAGAAGGACCAGAGTGAGATGATGGTGGATTTTAGAAGCAACACACAAAGTCTTCCAGAGTGGGTAAGTGTGTGAAGAATGGGGAGGATGGGCAAGGCAGCACGGAGCATGAAAATAGAAACAAAGATCAAATTAACAAATGAATCTTTTTACTGTTCCACTTTGAGCTTTCTTGTTACTCTAAAGTTTTTGTTGTTTTTCTTTAAACTTTATTTGATAACTTCATAGGTGAGTGCACTGTATTTACACCATTTCCACACCCTCCTTGCACCCCTACAACTTCTCCACGGCCTTCATCACCATTCCCTCTTGCATTTAAGGCCCCTTCTTCTATAATTATTTTTGATGTGTAGACAACCTACTGGGTCCAATTGCTGTTGTCCTTGTTTGCATGTATTTAGGGGCTTACCACCTGAGCTCTCATCCCTGACCAGACAAAACAAACAAACAAGCAGACAAACAAACTGGTTCTCCCTCACTCCCAGCCATTAGTTGTCTGTAGCTCTTCATCCGAGATGAGCGCTTGTGAATTTTTCCTCCATCCCTGTTGCACGTTGACTGTTGTGATCAGTGTGGTTCTGTGCCTTGTGCAGCTAACTGTATTACTGAGCATTCATAGGTGCCACATAAAACAAGGCAAAACCCACTTTGTCACTGCATCTGATTTCTTTCATTATACAACAGTCTCAAGATGAAGGTACAACTAAGAGAGAGCAGGTCACTCGTGCTGGGGACTGAGGCTGGGGGAAGTGTGGTTGATAAGAAGAGCAGCATCTGGAAATTATTGATACAACAGAATGTTTCCACATCCTAGTTGGATGAGTGGTTGTGTAACTCTACATCCTAAAACCCATAGCAGCAGTGTGTACACATACACACACACACACACACACACACACACACACACACACACACACACACACACACAAAGATAGTGGTGTTGCATTCTCATTTTAAAAGAAGACAAATACTGTAAAATAAAGCACAGAAACTCATTTATGAAGACTTAGGCTATGCCATTAAACAATCTCACTCTTCCTGCCGTCTACTGCATATCTGGTACAGACCTGATGTCCAGCTAACATTTGATCTTTCAGCAATACTGATGGAAAGGCAGGTCTTGTTCTGTATTTGCCCAGGATCTAACTCTCCTTTGGGCCCCTTTATTCCTTCTAAGTCATTAGAAATGGGAGGAGAAGTTGACCAGAAGGGACTCAACTTTGGGATGGAAACATTATGCCTAACTCAATCTATGCTTTATTAGAGAATTCTACCACCACAGAGTATTGATGACATTTTCTCTGAGCTTATTGGCTTATGAAGTTAAATACATGTTGTTGTTGTTGTTGTTTTTTAAAAAAAAGCCACTAAATCAGAAGTTAAACTTTTTGCACCTCCAATAGCAACTGCTTACTGAGCACCTTCAAAAGGGACCACAGATTCTGTGCATGCCTTGTCTCTGCTCTCCGTCCCATTCTATCACTGAGGAAGATGTTGTTTCCTTATTGCTCATTTGAGGAATACAGTATGAGGTCATGGAGCACAGCACAGGGCAGAACCGAGATTTGAATCTAGATCTGGGGTTCTGAGAGCTAATGACCCCTCTGTTGCTTCTACTGACTACATTAGCTCTGGCCATCAGACCTCCTGGGGAGGCTTCCCTGCTGCAACCCCCCCACTCTCCCACCTCCCCCGCCCTCCCACTCCCCACCCTCACCTCTCACCTTCTCACACTTTCATCTCCAACTCCACCCTCCCCACCCTGCCTCAGTCACTCACCACCAGTAACAACTCCATTGTCCTCTCTATGTTGTCCCCATCCCAAGTCTAACCTTAAGCTCTGCCCCTATTCTCTCAGTTCCATTAGAGGCTGGCTCCTGCTTTGAATTGATCTATTTCTAGCCTCCCATGCAAACCCCATAGGTTCTTGGGACTGTAGCCTGTAACCAGGAAATAGAGCAGGTGAGTTCCTGGTGTTCTGCATGGGCAGCCACACTTGTCTGCCCAGACCTTGTCCTAAACAGTGTCAGGATGGTTTGGCTTACAGTCAGAGACTGTTATTCTCTCACTTTTACTCATATATAGGAATGCTGGAGGAAACCTAGAGCCCTTATCTTGTCGAGATCCAGGGACAGTGGATGATTATGGTAGATCTAGGAATCTAGGAATTGTGTTTGAGCCCTGGGCCTTAGACTGTGTGTACATGAACAGAACTGTGAACATGTTAGGAATACCAATCTCAGACCACTGCCTGGCAGGACAAAATCAACCAGAAACCCTGAGGGCAGGGCCCAGCAATGAGCTTCTAGGTGATTCTGAAACCACAAAATTTAAAATCTACTGATCTAGCCCAGAGCTTCTCTAACCTCAGTAGACACAACATCATCAGAAGACAAGGTTGCCAGATTTACAAATAAAATATAGGTGAATTCATGGGACTGCCTAAACGAACATATGCCTTCTCTGGAATTCAAATTTAACTGGCTATCCCTAGTTTATGTGTAACATATGTAAAGGGCAGCTTTTGATTCAATAGGTCTGGAGTGAGGTAATATTCTGAAGTTTGAACAAAGGTCTCAGGTGATGGGTTAACAAAGCCAAACTGTACTGATAGTAAGAGTCAAAACAGAGCTACACCTCCTCCTCCTCTTCCTCTTTCTTCTCCTCTCCCTCCTCCTCTGATCTTCTGGGACTTGAACTCAGGACTTCATGCACACTGGGCGAGCTTCCTTCCACTAAGCTACATCTGAATCCTCAAAAATGTTTCTTGAATAAAGATTCCCAGATCTTCCTTCAGCCTATGAATCAGATCTTCCAAAGGAGACACTGATTTAGAATATGACAACTAGGAAACGGTGTGTTCTGAGTCACGGACGCTTCATTTTCAAGCTTTGGGAGACCCTCTGTCAGTCTAAGGCTTATGCATCTAGGTGACCCTGCACACACAGTGGCAGCAGAGAGGAGATGATGAGGAAGAGTGTTTGCTGAGGGATACAGAAGAGAGGAGCCTCTGTGGGGTAAATGGCCACCTCACCTTAGGCACGAAGACTTAGGAAACAGAAAGCGGGGAGCATTTGTGGGAAGAAACTTGGGGCTCCTCCCCGTGCAACAGCATCTGAAGGCAATCAGCACCTCCATGTGCAGAACACTCACAGATGCGTTTATTGAGCCCTTTTGTATTGAGACATCTAGGGAATGTGTCATTTCATTTACTCCTAAACAAAACAAAACAATACAACAACAACAAAAAAAACATTTTAAGGTTGAAGTTATTCTTTCCCTAGAAGTAACACATTAAAAAACAATCAAACAGCAACAACAAAAAAAAAACCCAACCAAACAAAGACACCAAAGCTCAAATGATGAGTAACTTTGTGTGTGGTAACGTCAAGACCTAGCATCAGGATTTGAACTCAGGTCTGCTCCTCAAACCTTTCTCATACAATTCCGTCTCTTTGTTGATGCTCCTTCTTAATGGAGATGCTGAGGCCCAGTGGAGGCCTGAGGAAGCATGGCCACTGTCTTCTACAGCAATAACAGCATACACCACTTTCCCTCCTGGGCCTTCTCCAACCCACCAGATGGAGAAGGCCCAGAACACACCGCACACTGGCAGCTTCCTGAGGCCTACCTATGGATTATTTGTCTTCACAATTGAGCCCCTGGTGGTGGGCACTTCCAGAGAAGACTTTTGCCTTCCGCTTCATTAGCTCCATTAGCTCTCTTTTCTGTCTGCAGCCAGATTAGTCAGGTACTTATTCCTGACGCACATTTCCCGCTTTGATCTTCCAGAACAGCCGCTTCAATTCAAGTTTCTACCTGGACATGATGAAATTCCAAGCATGTTCTCACCTCAGTCCCTGGTTTCAAGGTGTATTAGTCTGAAGAATTCTCACTGTCTGAGGAAATGATATTGCCAGAGAGGTAGAGGTCCCCAACTCACTGTAGGTAAGACGTTAGAATTTCAAACTCTTAATCCTATTGATTCTCGGTCCTTTTGATCCTTTTAGTACTTGTCAGGAGGCTTGAGTTTGTGTAATTTGCTGGGTAAGGAGTGCTGATTGGCTTGGGTTTTATTATGACCTGTTTATGTCATTTAATTACCAAGAAAGACTGGGCCTGGCTGCTGAGCCTCCTGAAGACATCCTCACTGGGCCTGCTTTCCCCAAAGCCTCAGCGATGATTTGGGTTTGAGAAGAGTGAGTGAACCAGATCCTCAGCCTGGGAGACAGTTTGTTTTGCCTTTAGGCAAAAGCAAGCCCTGCCTGTCCTTTGTAGAGTCCACAAGTGAATAGAATAACCGAGAAACACATGGCTCCTTTCAAGGCCAGGGAAAGGGGAGAAAAGTCATATTTCCTGAGTGTTCAGGTAGTGCTGGGCATTTAACTCTCTTAATCCTCTCAATAGCTTTAGGTCGTAGATCTTATTATCCCCATTTTACAGATTAGAGAGTCGACCCTCAGAGGTTAAGAAACATGGCCCAAGTTCAAACAGCTAGAAAATGACAAGCCTGGGTTAAGAACCCAAGTCTGATTTCAAAGCCATTGTGTTTTCATGCTATGTAGGTTGAAGAATTTCTTAACGCATCCCAGGAGAGTAAGAAAACATGTTTGTTTTCATGTTCTTGTTCCTGGAGTTTTCAAAGAATAGAAAATGTGAGTCTTTAAAAGCACTGCTAAATAAGGAGGAAATATCATTAGATTAATGAACTAGTCCTGGGAGCTGAGAAACAAACCGGTGAATGTCATCGGGATGGGAGAGGCTGTTTAATAAATGGGCCAGAGAAGCTGGTTTTCCATAGCAAATGGGTGAAAAGCTAAATTCCTACCGGACCTCATACAGAGAAAGACACACCAGATGGCATAAGGGTCTTAAGCTTAAAAGAAAACAAGAATATTTTTAATATACCTAAAACTTTTTTTTAAAAAGGTGGATATTCGTTATCTTAGGGCAGAGAAGACAAAAGTACAAACATAATTAAGGAAAGATGAATAAACTCAGCTGCCACTAAGTTTATTTTTTTTTTTTTATTGCAGAACAGAAACCTAAACTTTCCAAGTTAAAGGCCAACCAATCGCTCCAGACAAGACACTGGAGAGATACACAGCACGTGTGATCGGGATCGGAAAACGTCTTGAAGAAACAAGTCAGCAAGGCTTCCACAAATCAATGCCCAGAGACAGAAAGCCCGCTAGACAAATGCATAAAGGTTCGAGAACAGGGGAGGGAATCCCACACTCTCAGAATAAACAAACTGAAAAGCTGTTCGGGTCCCACAGGGAAGTAACAACCCAAACAGCATGATTGGCAAAAGTTGAATTAAATACCATTGCCCACTGGGAGCAAGAGTGTGTAACTAAGGAGACATTGGCATAGTGGTGTGAGTGTGGACTTGTTCTGCCATTATGGGACCATGTTGGTAACAGCATGTGCATACCCACTGAGAAACTGACCACCTCTGGACAGATATCCAAGAAACTCCCGTGTGGTGCAGGGCCAGCCCCCTGAGCATCTGCCCGGTCGAGGAGCTGAGCCCTCAGAAGGGCTCTGTGCTTGACTAAATGTTCTCCTTCTCCTTTCTCTGCCTTGAAATTCACAATAATTGTGTTTCTTAACTAGGCAGGACTGTAGAGCGCATTTGAGAGGTCCACCACAGATTGCTGTCCTGGATGCATTCAGCACTCAGAACACTCCATGAGAATTCCCATGGAAATACATGAAAAGTTCAATCTTCCAATGAGCAGCTGGGGAGTCGGCCCCACTGAGAAGCCATAATTTCCATTCGAAACAGAACGTGAGTCAAGTACAGATGGGGGGGGGGGAACCCCTGGACAACCCAGAAGCTGTGCTGTGGCCTTTCTGCTTCTGCGGCATGCCCGCACTCGTCAGCAAGGAAGCTGAAGAGGATGGCTGAGAAGGTAAAGGACACACTGAAAAGCCTGACTCATGGCTCTTTCAGTTCTTGCTCTCCTCGGTGAGCAAGGTGGAGACACGCTGGCCATGAATCAAGAGGTGAATAAAAACCCGTTTCCACCGCCCCGCTGCGTGGCGGGCATTCCCGGAAGCTATGAGGGGCAGGGCAGTCTCAGGGATTCTGCGTGGCAGTTAAATCCGCGTCTGTCTGTATTTAAAATAGACACTGCACAGTGTCAAGGCGAAAGTCCCAACGATTTCATCTTTAACTTTTCTTAGAGTAGTATTAGGAAACATAAAACACTATGGCCAGTCAAGAGAGGGACACCTTAAAGTCCAGTCCCTTCCAGGGCACCTTTCTTCTGGTGCCATGGAGGTGATACTCCCCAAGCTTCATGTCCTACCGGGCCTGCAAAGCCCACCGTCAGCCCTGTGTGGCCCATGGAAACATGGACAAGAATGCTTGTGTGAGCACAACTATAAAAAGTGAAATAATCCGATATCCAGGGATGGGGGAACAGATGGACTGTGACGCAGCTCATGAACGCTGCAGTTGCACAGCGGTGTCAAACGGGAGAAAAAGATTAATAACAAAAAGGACATTGAGAAGTAATTCAAGCAAGAGAACTTCCTATGAGGTATCAGGGCACCTACCTAATTCCATAAAACTCCCGCGTATTATATAATACAGAGAGAGAGAGAGAGAGAGAGAGAGAGAGAGAGAGAGAGAGAGAGAGAGAGAGAGAGAGAGAGAGAGAGAGAGAGAGGTATATCCGGATATATAGCTGCATTGACCAGCACACATCAAACTCATGCCTTGATTTTACTCAAGAGGGAGAAAGACAATGACACTAGAAAGAGGGAAGTTGTGGACTTTAAATTAATTTAAATTTTTATGCCTTAAAAATTTGACAACCTGGGCCAGCAGAACGGCCCAGCAGGTGAAGGCACTGTCCACCGAGCTGACAACCTGAGTTCGGTCCCTGGAACCCACACGGTAGAAGGGAACAACTAACTCCTCCAAGTTGTTTTCTGATTTCCGTATGTGCACTGGGGCACCTGAGCCCCCCTACAATGAATGAATGAATGAATGAATGTAAATTTTAATTGACAAAAATGTGAACCTACGTAAAATCTTCAGTGATGAATATTTGTGTTTATCTGTTGTTTTTAGTGTCCTCCATAATTTGTAATATAAAAATTCTCCTAATTTAGGTCATGTGGGCCATCCGTCCACCTATTCTAGATGTAATTTCTAAAACACAAAGAATTAATTGATGGGAATGCAGCATGGAGCCCTTTCTCTCATGTGTTTCTCTGAGCTAGGTACTGAAACATGGCTCTGTCTATTTATCAATGGGAGGAGATGGCAGAGGGTCCTGGAGTCAGTCTCTGCAGTGCTCATGAATGGAGGTCACGCACAAACCATTCGCTCATTATCTGGTTGGCACAGAAAGACACATTCTGCATCAAATTTTCCCGAGTAGTATTTGTTTTTTTTTTTTTTGGAGGGGGGGGTTACTCCTTTGAGTTAACTTTCCTTTTTCTTCTTTCTATTTTTTTTTTTAATGCCCATGACTTTTATGTTCTGAGTTCGCTAATAAGAAATCAGTCTTTTTGGAATCTTCCAGGACCTTCTAAAGGATGATTACATTCTTGGCTTTGGAATGCTCTCAACACAGTGGTGGATTACTGATCCACATAGTCCCTCAGTCCTGGCTCTCCCACAGCTGTCTTAGCTCTTTAAACTCAGAAGGCTTTGGGTTCCAATTCATTGACCCTGAGCACAATATAAGATGGAAATTATTTTGGCTGCCGAGGCAGGATGTAGCCCATTCATGTATAAAACCATTGCGAAAAACGAAAGGAAGTTAATTTGGAAAGCAATGCCTGTGTTTGGTTTTGTTTTTAATTCTCTTCGTTTCTAGATGCTGGCGCCAACCCTGGGAGTTCAGCTGCTACTTGAGACCTGACTCTCGGGTGTGACCTGTTGATGGCAAGTAGCCCTGGAAGGTGACCTTCTCACGATCCACCTAATACCCACCTGTCTGCTGCCTCCATTTCTAGCCTCCTTCCTGCCCTCTCCTGTGAGCAAAGCATGCACAGGTAAGTGACAGGGACCTTGATGGCTTTTAATTGAAATAACTCTGCATTCACAGCTGGTACTCCATCACTTTTCTACTCGACCTCAGAGCTTGCAAATATTAAACATGATTAGCATTGAAAGCACAATTCAGGATGCAAGTCTCTCTTACGTTAAAGGGGGAAGGAGAGGGCTCTAGATAGAAGCTAGGTGGCATTTAGAGTTATTCTAATGACTCACCAGCATTCTCCTTTTCATCCAAGTCGGTTACAAAGACAGAATTAATCTTCTCCATTTAGTCCAACTCGTAGAGGAATCAGTTCACAAAAAGCTTCTTTAGATGGTGTTGGTTGACAACCACAATTGGCTAGAACCTTTCTTCGCTCTGAGGAAGTGGTAGTGGGGGCGCCAGTTCTACTAGTAAATGAAGTTGGGTCTCAAGGTGAAAATCGGACACCCAGGGAGCTTGCTGAGTCAGGGCCACTTCTCTCACCTTCCCGCACTCTCATTCGACTCTGGCGACGACGTGTGGGTAAGAATCTGGAACTTTATCGGCTTACATTAAACTGTATCTGCGCAGAAATCAATATGCAATTAACTACCAGCTAGGTAGGTTCCCAGCGAGAAGACCTGACCTCTCCACAACCCAACCTACTCCCTGCCCCACTCCCCCGCCAAAAAAATCCAGAGAAACATAAACTCTCTTCATAAATCATTAATATTCATCATTGAAATATACAATATGGTTTATATTTCAATCAATTTGCCTCATTGATTGTGTACGATTTGCACTGATAGAAAAACCAACTGCAGTCTATGTAGATGGCAAAAGGAAGAGATGAGGAGATGGTTGGTGGCACAGAGAGGAAGGGCCAGTCATGGGGAAGTCAGAGTTCGTCCTTCTGATCTATGCAGTTGAATCTGGAAAGGGAAGAGTTGATATTCATTTAATCACAGACAGCCTCTTTCAGTCCACTAATTCAGATGAGTACCAGGCAAGGGGAGGAGGCCAGAGGGTGCAGCCTGGCTCTTTGCTCCCCTCTTTCAGATTGCACTCAAGGACATGGAGACTTGACAGACTATGTGGTCCACCATCTGGAAGCCATACACACAGTTACAGAGATCCAACATGGAGAATCAATTCTACAGGGATGCAAAAGCGCACCACGTGGGCAGACAAGATGCTGGACACCAGACTCTCCTCAAAGACAACTGTACCAAGTCTGCTGCTGCCACTGGTCACACTGGGCACTCACCCCAGCTTGAAAGAAGCCCTGTAGCTAAGACTGGAGTAGCCCTGGCCCAGCAGCACAGGGACTGCCCCCGCCACACACACACACACACACACACACACACACACACACACACACCACTGTTTTCACCAAGCCACATAGTTTCATGCTGTTTGATGTTTCACCCAGCAGCTAGATATACTTTTATTTAATAATGACTAAAATATTTGGCTTCTTTTCCATCTCTTCAGAGTTATAGGTAACACTCAAACACTATTGCACTCTGCTCTCTTTCACAGAGAGGGGTACCTGATAAATTACGTTATTTGAAGGACTGGTCCAAGTGAGAAGGCTCTGGTGGATGTTTGTGCATGGCCCTTCCTTGCTCAGCTGTTCTCCACATCAGTTCTCATTAATATTCTCAACAACGCAAAGCCTGGGTGTGTTTTAGAGTCCTTCACATTTTGTTTTCAAGGGTTTTTTAAAGGGGGTATTCCAACTGATATTATCAACAATAAATGCTGTTATCTTTAATTTGTTTAGTCTAATGTTACGTAATTTTTCAGAAGAACTTTGTTGGTGTTTTCCTTCGACTCTCTGATCCCAGCCCTGGGCTTAAGGACACACTATGGCATCACCTGAGCCAAGCAGCCCTGTCAAAGTGTGATGTGATGTTTCTGTTTTTCCCTGGTAATACATCTGTCTTAATCAAGGAGACCAGGACCCTAAGAAAATCAGGGCTCCTGTTGTGGGAAATACAACCAATATGGTCTGATTTGGGACTGTTGGAACCTATCTGAAGGTACCAGGTGTAGGAACACTAGAGGACTAGGAGGATCCAAAAGAAACAAGAACTATCTTCAAGTTTGAAAACAGAGAAAACACACACACACACACACACACACACATACACACACACACACACACACACACACACACACACACACACACACACACACACACACACACCCCTCCCAAGTACTGAAAAACTACATCCAGATCATAGAGACTAAGGACATTGAGATGGCATTAAAGAGCTGTGTCTGTAATTCAGTGGCTGAGTGCTAGCCTAGCATATGTAATGCCCAGGATTCAATTACACACACACACACACACACACACACACACACACACACACACACACACACACACCAGAAAAGAAATGGCTGTCTCCAATGGTACTGTAAGTGATGCTAACATCTAATAGCACACCAAAGCATATTAAAACTTAAAGAAGGAAAGAGATATGTTCAGATAAGTGTGTGTGTGTGTGTGTGTGTGTGTGTGTGTGTGTGTGTGTGTGTGTTTTAATTTAGTCTTTTTTAAAAAAATTATCTTCTAATCATCAAGTCTTTTGACTCAGAAAGTACACCCTGGGTATACATGGGTTCATCCGGAAGCTTTCTTCTTAAAAGAAATCCTTGATCTCAGCTCGATTTCTTAGTAAATGATAAGAAGACAAGCCATAAAAAACTTAATTAAAAATCAAAAGGGCTCCCCTTCTTCAGACCTGTCCAGCCCCTGAGTATATACAGTTTTAGTGTTTCTGCAAACCCGGCTCTTGAAATCAGACGCAGATTTTTGCTTCCCAACATTCCTGAATTTCGTTCGCAGCCCTCCTCACTCCAGGGCTTCATGTCTTTTGGACTGTTAATCAGTATTTAAAATGCTTCCTTCACTCTGCCGCAAGCTGCCCAGGGAAGAGCAGGGCGCCATTAGCATCCCGGGGAAACGCTGCCACCTAGTGGTCATGTTGAATGCTGACTTCATCACCAAGTGGAGTTGCGGTTTTCTCAACTCCAAGCACAAAGGAGGTTTTGTTTCTTCTGTTCTTTGAATTCTAGGTGTATAGGATCCCCAGGTACTTGAAGATTTCAAGAAGGCCTGAAGTAAACAATTTATAGTGCCTACTTACACATCTCTGAGCTCTCAAATAAACCAAGACTTACATGAGAGTTGGAAAATTAAATTAATAACAATATAATGGACTGAATAGAAGGATGTTGCCAGTAGAACAGAAATGTTGTGACCTTGTATGGTGTGAGAATTGGTGAGCTTTGAGACTTGATTTACCCTGATAAAAATGGTTCACTGGAAAGGTGAGCACCAGATATAATATTATGGCTCTGTGGTCTGCCTTTTAAAATAATGATATCAGTTTCTACTGTGAGAACTAGCATCCTTTTTGACTGTTGTAGAAAAAGATGTCTCCCATTGAAAGATGGATTTAGAGTTGGTGATAGAGGATGCAGGATTTAGTAATGTAAGAAAATCCAAAAGTACATAGGGGGAAATGCTTGAATTGACACACGATTTCTGGAGGTAGTAAAATTGCCTTTCTTATGATAAAACTATCTTTTACAAACAACTTGCAAATTTTCTCTTTAATAACCCTTCTTGTAAGGACTAGAAGCCTGTCCCTATCACCTGAGAAAAAGAAGTGTAGACCAGGCGATGGCGGCACACACCTTTAATCCCAGCTCTTGGGAGGCAGAGGCAGGTGGATCTCTGTGAGTTCGAGGCCAGCCTGGTCTACAAAGCGAGTTCCAGGACAGTCAAGGCTACACAGAGAAATTCTGTCTCCAAAAACCAAAAGAAGAAGACGGAGGAGGAGGAAGAGGAGGAGGAGGAGGAGGAAGAGGAGGAGGAGGAGGAGGAGGAGGAGGAGGAGAAGCACGTAGGTGTCTAGGTGTCTGCACAGAAGCCTCTGCTCACTCTCTGGAGCTGTGATAAAGATAAGGGCGGATGAGTGTGTCAGACTCTAACTGAACCAGAGTTTACTGCCTAGCTCTCCACCACTGGCCACAAAGGTCAATCCTGTATTTAAAACAGCATGGAGCAGATCTAGATTGCTCTGTATTTCATCTCAAATTTTCGGGAAAGTGTCCTAAGCCTCTCATTTTCATGGTTTTTCATTCTCATCCCCTCCCTTACTCTTCCCTTTTCATCTTTTATCTCCTCCCCCTGAAATAAGCCACTCCTATACTTAACAGCTTAAAATTTCAACTCCAATTTTAAGATTTTTGTTTTGTTTTTTGTTTTTGAGACAGGGTTTCTCTGTGTAGTTCTGATGCCTGTCCTGGATCTCACTCTGTAGACCAGGCTGGCCTGGAACTCACAGAGATCCACCCAAGAGCTGGGATTAAAGGCATGTGCCACCACCGCCCGACTTTAAGATGTTTTTACTCGCATCAAATAATGATTGATGGGTAGGGCATGGTGCTTAGCTGTGGGCAGAGGGGGCCGAAGAAGGCAGACTGACAGCCAACTGGAGACAAAGGACTTACTTTGCTGGTAAGTAACAACCACGTGGTGTTGAGAGCAGTTAACAGGGTGATGACAGTGCCCGGCACATAGTAACTGCTCAATAAATGCTACCACTAAATAGAATTCCTGGGAGGAAACTTTGGTCTCTCCTGTTTCCATCAAAAGGCAGTCAACTTAGAGGTGAGAGATTGCTTTGCATTGCCCTTCAAGGTCTCTGAGGCAGGGTTGGCCACAGTCCTGTAATTCTTGAAGCACCATGGGCTAAAACCTGTACGAAATTAAAGCATCTAGAAGATTTATTTGTAAAGTCCCCCTTGAGTCTAAAGGAGAAATAAATTAGAACAAATTGTGACTGATACTGAGCAGCCAGGGACTAATAAAATACTACCTCTGATGGCTTGGTGTGTCTGTTTCTTTGGATCTTGCTCCTACTGAATTTTAAATTAAATATTAGTGACAAAAAGAACCCTTGTGTTTCTCTTCCAATAACATAAAAATTAAGGAAGGTTTTGAAATCAATAAATAGTCTACACTTCTTGTTAGTGTAGTTTACCTTTGGGAAGTTAAATGACAAATTAAGAAAGTATTTTCCTTTTGAAGTTTCGATTGGGTTACTGGGTTAGCGATGTGGCTATCACTCAATCCATGTAAAAGACAAGACCCCTGCCTTGTGGCACCAACACTTGTCCAGGCAACAGAATTGCTCCAAAACCTTGGTGAAACTGCAGAGGAGGAGGGAAGGACTGATCCAAGGGTAAGCCTGGATCTTAGCTGACTCTCCCTAGTCCCAGTTGTTTACTGAGCATCTGCTGTATGCTGGTCAGTGGAGAATGCCAGGTTGAGCAGGATCCATGTTCCTGAACTCACGTTTACTTAACAGTGTATTATTCAGAACAACATGCAAGCGAGTTTGAAATTAAGCTCTGCAAAGAAGTGCCTGGAACTTGCAATGAATGCATGAAAAATAACTCTTCACTGTGCAGACACAACTCTGGGAACTCACAGAAATCCTCTTGCCCCTGCCTCCCAAGTGCTGGGGTTAAGGGTGGGTGCCACTACAGACCCCACTCTTAACGCTCTCTGATAGAAGATGTGATAGCTTTTCCAAAACCACAGAAACCAATTCTACAATTCTGGGAGGAAGACAGGTCAGTTCCAGGAAATGGAGAAGATAGGAAGAAGTTAGGAGAAAGGGATTCTGGAAAGGATGATGTGGTTTGAAAAGAGGCTAGAGAGGTGGCCAGAAAGGTGGCCTCCAGTGGCTTTGGATAAGAGCGAATAGAACACATTGGAAGATTTTAAGTAAGAGCAACACAGAATATGACTAGATTTGTGCCTCTGCAAGTTTACTATCTATTGGAGTGAGGGGGAAGAAAGATCACTACCATCAGCACCTTTTAGGGGCCAGGTAGGAAGTTTTACTCTAGAAGTGATGGTAGAAATGGAGCAAATTGGAAGGGTGGAAATTACATAATACAGTTCATACAAATGAAATTCTCAGTTCAATTGGGACAATGTATCTTTATGCATGTACACATACACATGTAATAACAATTAGTTTAAAAAGAGGCCATTTTTTAAAGAGAACAAGGAGAGATATATGAGAGGGTTTGAAGGGAGAGGAGAAATGTAATTATAGTATAACATCAAAATTAAAGAAAAGTTTAAAAATGCAAAAACCTGGGTTGGGCTATAAAAAAAATCAGACTATGGCTGGCTGAGTTTAAAAGATGAACTTTGCTTATGTTTGTTTATAAGCAAGTTAAGTTAAGCAGCACTACAAAGTTGGAAATGAAAAGAACGAACACAAATAAGTAAAATGCAAATAAATATTATCATGATATACTCAATGACACTCCATTAGAGAAAACTGATTTTCCCTATGAAGTTGAGTGAGAAGGATCTGGCAGGAGTTGGGGGAAGGGGAAAAGCATGATAAAAATAGGTGTATGAAAAAATTTAAATAAAAAGAAAAAATAAAGAAATGAAGTGAATGGGTTTAAAGCTGAGAGATGTTTAGGAGATAATGCGGCAGCACTTGGTGATGGAGAATGAGGACAGAGGAACTGGAGTTCTCTCCTTGGTCCTTACTGTGCAGTCGTTAGATGATGATGATGGTACTTACTGTGAGGAAGCACTGAGGGATATAGGGAGTTGGGCTCAAAGAGGTAAAAAAAGAAATCCAGGCTCTATTTCTACATGCGGTGATCAAAGCCCATTTAAACACCCCAAAACACATCTAGAAAAGAGCCTGGAACACATAAGACTCTCAGAAATATCTACTGACACAAAGAGTGAAAACTAAGACTGCTGTGGGATGTCCTGTATGCTGTAAATATATGTTGCTACGATTGATTGATAAATAAAATGCTGATTGGCCAGTAGCCAGGCAGGAAGGATAATGTAGGCAGGATGAGGAGGAGGAGAACTCTGGGAGGTGGAAGGCTGAGGCAGAGAGATGCTGCCACGCCACCATGAAAAACGAGATGTAAGGTATTGATAAGCCACAAGCCACGTGGCAACTTATAGACTAATAGATATGGATTAATTTGAGATATAGGAACTAGATAACAAGAAGCCTGAGTCATTAGGCCAAACAGTT